GCTTTCTTTCAGGCTTTTTAGGTTGTTCTTGAGGTTCGTTTCCCTACCCCAGTCAAGGGCTAAGTATTCACCTTTTCATTTTTCTACACCTATCTTTCTCTCTTGCCCTCTTAGCGCTGCTCTTTCTGTCTTTCTTTCTTTCGTTTCTAAGGCTTTTTAGGTGACCATTCAGGTCTTTCACATGCGCGCCGCGAAGCGGCACCCTGTGTGTGTCAAACCCTGTTTCCAAGGGTCTATATAATTTAAAGCAGGGGGACAGAGCTCTCTGATGCTACTCTGTCCAACGAAGCTAGGCATCAGAGAGGGAAGCATCCACTGGCCATGGATGTGTACCTGCTTTAACGGTTGAACAAGCTGTCCAATTGACCTTGTTTGTTTTCATGGTTCTTCATGATACTCCCCTTAAACCTTCCCACCGCGTTCTTGCAACCGAGCCGCGCGTTTTCGTGAGCGTTTCGTTTTCGTGCTTTCTGCAGACTTCAAACCATTTTGTTCAAACATCTACAAGTTTTGCGGACTCTTCACCTTACCGTTCTTCACCTTCCTTCCCAACGTGGCAATTGAGTTAACTGAAAACCAATGTCAGAGTGTGTTTGTCTAAGTCTGTCTATATTTTGATCTGTCTATCTATGCCCTCCCAAAATCAGACTTGAAAAACTACTAATCATGTAAGAGATCTCTTCGGACTTACCAAGCCATGCCCCTGTGGGGGATTCTTCTGAACAAAAACATCATGCCCCTTTGTCGTTGAATCCACGGCCACCTCGAGAACCGAGCGGCCGTGGATTCAAAGATGCTCACCGCTCCCCCGAAGCGGTCGAAGGCCGCACTGTCGTCGGGAAGCAACTGGGCCTGGAGGAAAGCGGATTACCCCGCATCAATGCCCCAGTCCAAGAACCCCTTTCTTGGGGCATGCGGGATGGCGAAAAGTATGCAAAAGAAACAATGTCAAAAACACTTGCTCTACACAACACATCCCAAAGCCGTTTTTGGTGGTGTCATTGCTGATGGGGTTCTGAAGATTTGCGGAGATGGTTGGTAGCTTAGTTGAACTTTCAGCCAAAAGGTGAACGAATGTTCTGCCAGTTTTCCTTGAGGCAAGTTAGTGGTCCCAAGTCCTAAAGGCCCAAAGGTAATGGGAAAGGCATTTGTCCTCTTATCAGCTATGAAGGCACACATGATTCGTCTATATAGCAATCTGGCATCGCTATTGCTTGCTCAAACCAGCCAACAAATCTCTTATCAATTAAATTACAGTATGTTTGGCTTAAAAGCGATTGCCTTCTTCTAGTCACACACAAAACACCTGCTTGAAAGTGCCTAGCCTTCCACCGCTGATTGGCGGCATAGCAATTTTTGAAACACAAAACAGTCCGAATCTTCCATACAACAAACGCCTCTCTTCCTGTCTTGCGGGCCCTCGCAAAGCGCTGCCTCCTGGTTCCAGCTGCTCCCATTGAAGGCAAAAATATATGCGGCGCCTGCCCAAGTCTTTGCAATGGTCCCAGGACTGTCGCAGCTTTCAGTTTAAGAGGCCCCTTGGCGAGCGTCTTCTTGAGGTTCTGGTCTGCACTGGATTCTGGATGGTTTGTAAACCTATAGGAATCCCTCACCGGTTTGGAGAATACTGCCAATGTGCTTGCAGGGTTTTTCCTTTCTGCTTTGTGCTTCAAGATGTGAGTTGAAAGACAATATGGTCAGAGTCAATGAAGTGCACAAACACCAGGACAGAAATGGAAAAAGTGAAAAAGGACTATCGCTTTTCTTTGAGGGTCACTAGTTGCAGTTTCTCGAAGCTCAGAACCACAAATGTTCATAATGCCCAAGGCACCACATCCAACTCCACCGGGACCTGTGTGCCAGTCAGCTCCCACCTAAATCAGACATCGCCCATCACATTCACCGCTCTGCAAAACTTCTTATAAGAGTGCTTTTCCCAGTATATAACAGTATATACAGAAATTGGACATGAAGGCCGTGGGATGCACAATGAAACCTCCTTTTGTACGAATAACATCTTGGCCACCACTGCATAGTTCTCCGTCATGCTCACAGAGATGCCAAACTTGTCCCCTGCCATGGTGTCATCGCCCACGAGTTTGGCCTGGCATAACTCTGAGGCAGCACGGCCATGATCTCGTCAAGCGATACAACATCTCACAAGGTGCATGGCATGTGTCGAATGTGAGCGCACACCTGCTGGACCCATGAGTCGGAATTCTTCGAAAAAATGTAGGCTGACCTCAAACAATCGCCCGCATGTGAGAGACCCAGACTGCCAAATCCAAGCCTTAAAAACAACACATCCTGTGGAGTGTACCCAGTTTGCCGCGTCGATGAGAAAAGAAAAGCAAATCTCGACATGTCACCCCGTGTCTGCCAGGCCATTGGAATCATGGCCATCCGCTCCCACTATGATGTAGTCACCTGGTCACACCGACCACAGTGAAGCCGGAAAGATCACCCTGCGGCTCTTGTCCTTTGGACGTCCCTCTTCCCCAAAGCCCAGTCAAGTCCAGCAAGTGCCGGTGAGTTATTATGAGTCATTTCCACCAATTCTCTCTTGGCATCACTCGAACTGGTTATCCTATACTTGTGGCCCAGGGCGAGTGGCGAAAGCTAGGGGAAGAAGCAGCGCTGCGACCTTTTTGGCAGCAGAGCCCAGGCCGGGAGTCGCAACATATCATGGTGGAGGGCAGGGGAGGAGAGTGCCAACAGTACCCCCGCAATAACACAGGAAACACACAACCACCCCAGCAACAGCAGCAGCAGCAGCAACAACAGCCAGCAGCAGGCGCAGCAGCAGCAGCAGCAGCAGCAGATGCACGATCGACCAACACCGACAGGTATAACAAACAGTGAACAATCACAGCTGGGATCTCAAAAACATGTTTTCTGTTGGTGTAAACCGTTGTTTGGTGTAAACCGTGGTTGGTGTAGACCGTGGTTGGTGTGAACCGTGGTTGGTGTAGACGGTGGGTGGTGTAATCCGTGGTTGGGTTAAACGGTGATTTGGTGTAAACCGTGGTTGCTGTAGACCGTGGTTTGGTGTAAGCCGTGGTTGGTGCAAGCCGTGGTTTGGTGTAAACGGTGCTTGGTATAGACCGTGGTTTGGTGTCAGCCGTTGTTTGGTGTAAAGCGTGGTTTGGTGATGGTGTAAACCGTGGTTTGGTGTAAACCGTGGTTGGTGCAAACCCAGCAGCAGCAGCAGCAGCAGCAGCTTGAACACGCGGATGGGGGGTATCCTTGACATATCAGGGGTTCCTCCTTTCCAAAGCAAAACAGGCTCCAGCTACAGCTAGATTTCGTGATTTGATGAATCCATTAGAAATCACAATTGGATTCACAGCAGCGCCTTCCACCTTCAAGGAGTTCCCAAATCGGTCTCCAGCGGCAATATCCTCTGACACGATTCGGGCGTCCAGCGTCCAAATGTTTCCCACCCTGGCCAAGCAAGTTATGAAAGGATGTGTTTCTACTAGTAGCAAGTGCATGGCTACTACTAGTAGCTTCTTGTTACTAGCAGTAATTAAAGCATTTGTTACTAGTAACGATGCACAGTTTGTGGGTCAAGTCCAAAACAGGAGAGTGGTACAGTTTGTAGACATATGCGCCACCCGCATCTGTGCCATTAATATCTTCAGCGGGCGCACCAACTATCAGTACGTTGCCTTAATATCTGGGACAAGCAAGGTTTCTGCATTTAATCCTTCGACCCGTCTGGTGCCACTGCGGATGCGCATCGCATGGTTCACACAACATGCACCGCTTGCGTGGCGAGGCACCAGAGATGCTGACAACCTTTCCAAACTCATCGTCTTTGACGTTGCCTTCAGAAAGTACCCCGGCCTGAGATGCTCACGCTCACAGCCTGCGACACCCTGAAAACACGTTTTTGAACGCGTCGACATGGTTCACATGACGTCCACGTGTTCGTTCACGGGTCCAAACGTGTGTCCTAAGGGATCCTTTTATGCATTAACTACGTCCTAAGCCCCTGCTTACATTCAATAGATTTCAATAGGAGAGGTTGGAGGGCGCCACCAAAACGTGTATATATATATATACATAATATAGACGAAATGTTTATGGAGGTTGTTCGAATATGTCCTCAAGGTCCACCCTGATCTGCATTTTGAGATCTTCCCGCCTCGTACGACATTTGATACGCACCCACTCTCAGGAGCTCGAGCAGCACGAGCAGCTTGAGCACCATAATTGCCTGGAAGGAAGGCGACCTGGTCCAAGGTCCTGACAGTGATGGAATCGCACTCTCTCTCTCTCTCTCTCTCCAAGAACGAAAAGGAATATAGCAAACATGCACAACAAGATCATGGTCAAAGAGTCAAAACTTGAAAAAAAAATAAATCAACCAATAATGACAATATTGTTAGAATCAAACAGCCTCCTCCCAAACGCCTCACTTGCAGGGCCTAACCAAAGCGGGAAGCAAGTAAGTCTGTGACAACATGTGACAACATGAATCTCGACCACTACTACCCCGAGTCATGTTAAAGCCAAGCCTAATGCAGTGGTTGCTCCGTGTGCCAGGCACAGCTGTCGTCACACTAATCCCTCGGATAAATTGCGGAGGAATGTGATGGCTTGGACTTGCATTGCCTCCCCAACTCTGCATCGGCAAACCTGCGAAACAGCCGACATGGAGATTCTCTGCCTCATTTTCACCAACCTTGCCAATGGTCATTCATTCCCATATGTAAACCTTCGAACCGAAACACTGCGCATGGACATGCCACAGTGGTGCAAGATGAACAAGGATTTCTCATTTTCACGAGCCACTATCTACAAGTCTCCACCCATCTCTGGCCCTCTCTGGCGCTCTCTCCAGCCTCGCTCTAACTTTCTCCCTCTCTCTCTCTCTCTCTCTCTTTCCCACACATCTCACACTCACTCAGATGGGAGCCGCTAAACACATCACCCCCAGCTCACTTGCCAGAAGCTAGGGAACCCTTCACATTGGACTGCAAACAATCTCCAGCCTGAGCTTGGAGGACTTCACCCACAGCCAACCTTGATCCACATTCACAAACATGATGCATCCGGCCTTTTGTTTCCCACAAGTCCATCGCAGCTGGATTGGAATTGAAGGTTTAGAACCATCATAGTGTGAAGCTTTGCCTGCATGAGGCGTCAAATTCCTGTACAAGCTGCAAGACATGTGCTCACGAATTCTCATGCTACTGCAGCTACTGCAGGACCGCTTGCAGCTGAGAGCCCGGGCTCTGCCAGAGTGGGCTTCAGATCCCTGGCAACACGATGAGCCATGGTGAACTTCCAAATGGAATGACAATCATGGTATTTGCAATGCAGTAACGAATGTCAATACATATGATTTCCAGCAATGGGCCCTAAACATGAACCTCGCACTTTTATCCACACTTTGATGGGTGAAGCAGCCAAGCAGCTGCTTCTTTCAAATGATAGGTCTCTGAAAATCTAGGGACAATATCAGGTGCACTGAGGTGCACCCGATGGAAACGGGACATCAAAGTTGCCGCACACCAAACAAGACCCAGGTCAGTCGGCGCGTTCGCATTTCGACGAAGCAAAATTACAAAGTATTGGATCAATCTCTGGCAGCTTCAGAATCAGATTCAGAAAGGCATGGCAACCAGCTTGATGACATTAAAAAATATTCTGTGCGTGGATGTGCATGGGATGCATTGAAACTCGAGCGGTCAACATGCTGAAAGCCCATAGCAAGCATTCATCCGGGTGATTGTGCAAACCACGACAAACACAATCATTGTTCTATCAGCGCTCCTTAGAGCCAAGGGCTTTCTACATTACTAAGACAAGAGGAACTACCGCTCTTCAAAGGTATACTCCGCTTTGATTCTATGACTGTTAGTCCGCAAGTGCAGGCCTCGCCAAATCATTATGAGTTCTGGATCATTGAAACAGCCACTCCTCCCCCGAAACAAAATTTGGAAATTGAAATAGGAAAAAGCAACTAACCTCCCATCAAGCACCCTCATGCCCTGTTGTCTTTTGCGGGAGATGCATGAATCTCCCTCGAAGAAAATAGCGGAGGCCGCACAACTGGTCAAGAGCAGTACTCTATTTCAGTCAAGCTAGGACATCAGACTGGCAAGTTTCTGCTGCTCGTGGCAGCACAGCTTCCGTGACAAATCAAAAGGCCGTGCGACCCCTCATCCTATGCTCGATTCCATTCAGGGATGTCATAAAGAACATACTTGGTGTACTGGATGCAGGGCGTGCAGCAACTTTACTAGCGCAAAAAAAAGTACACTGCACATCTTTGGAAGGAGGTAGACACCAGGATTGAGCAAAGGTTATACAGTAACAACCAGTGTGATTGCTGCCAAGATGATGTCTTTGGCCAGGTCTTGAGGAAGGAGTAACCACTTGAGACTAGAAGAGATGGCCCGGCGCTCCCCACAAAACAGGGAAAGAGGACATGACTGTATCAGCCGCAGCACCCACACGTAGGTGTGCAACCGAACAAAGTAAAAAAGTCTTGTGCTCCAAGACCACGAAAGCTCTATATAGAAGGAGAAACCTAAGGTAACCCAGGACGTCTTAAACAGGTGCATAAAAAGAACCACGATGACTCGTGACTCGCGACCATCCATGTTTCAATTCTTAAGAGTTGGAACTCCTTGAGTTGTGCAACAGCCATTGAATGGTAGTCAGGCTGATGTCAGATGTCCTTTTGCGAGTCGCGGGTCATGCCCTCTCGCCTCAGGTGTTGTAGTGCTTTCAAACATGGTCCTCATGTAGTGCTTTCTTGCTCCTATGGGCCGTCAACCCACAAAAAAAACCTGGTTCCGATGCTGAACATCTCCCAAAGGAAGGCAAGTTGCCCTGCGTCTCCTGCAAAAGGAGGAGAGCTTCCTGCACCTGCGCGTGAACTTCAGCAACCCACCACAGTCAATTGACGGTTCCGTCGCACCACCAACCTTCAGCTGAAATGCTCAAACAAAAGGCGCGGAGCCTATCAGGCCTGTGAGTGGTCTAATCAGCAATGACTTGCTAACCAACATACTCTATGCTTATATTTGGGTGAATCACCAACCTGAATCTAGGACCGTCCTGTTTGTGGGGCAAGGTCGTTGTACTCACTGCTCAGATCGAGTCTGTTTGACCCCAGTTTCCGATTCCGAAGCCTGCCCCTGCAAGCTGTCATCCAAGCCACAGTTCTCTAAGAATGCGCAAGCCGCCTGATAGGGTGCAGTTACATCCAATCAAACATGCTGAACCATCCGTGTATGAAAGCAGGGTGGAGCCTTGCCGGTTCATGGCTGTATATTGTCAATATGAGCTTGGTCCTAGTCAATTCCATTCAATTCCCCTGGGCGCTATGCTCCAAATAGCAGAATAGCGCGAGAAGAAATTGCGAGAATTATTCTTGAAGGTGAAGCACTATGGAGCACTTGAGACAACATGTCAAAAAAACACAGGGATTGTCCCTCGGTCTCTCTCTCTCTCTCTATCCATCTGCCACTTTCAGACTTCCAGCTGGCACAAGTAGGCACAGCTTGAGAGCAGGGCATTCAGAAACTTCGAGGGCCCACCCACGTGAGACTTGCAGGGAACATGGTGTTGACAAGGCCGGCAAAAAGAACACGCAGCTCAGCAATGGAACATAATATAATCATAATGGAACTGCTTTCGTGCCAATGGGAGGTGGTGAGAGACCTGTCCGAACATGTCCGAACCATGTCCACGGTGAGCTGTAAAGTTCTTTCATGTCTGTGTGAAAGGGTTGTGGCAATCCATGCCTAAGATTCACGGGCCGATGCAGCTACAATTGGAGTGCCTCTTGCATGCGCCTGTTCCACCGCGCACCCACGCACATGCACGCACACAATTGCATCGTTCCACCCTGCGGGCAGCTTAGCACAACTGTGCAGGCGCGTTCAAATACTTGAATTGTACATTTTCAGGTCGGGCAGTCACTGCTTTCCTCTTTAGTCTCGCCTTTGTGATTGAAACTCTCCCAATCAATTCCCCGATAGAACTCAACAACTTCCCATAAGCTTACAGCCTCCCCAAGTGGTCAAATCCTGACAGCCAAAATATGGCAACACGGAAATTTTGTCCTACCAGCTACATTTCCCGACGGTGCCTCTCGGAGTTTCTGCGAAAGGTCTCCGGGCGTGAGCCGCAGAACCTCATCACGGCAGTGAAGGCTCTATAACTCGAACCATGGCTAAACACGATTTGTGTCCAGCTATAACTACTGTGTACTTCTTCGCATGTACTTATGCCATCGCTCTACTAGGGTGGATGCCATTGCTATTATATAATGCTATTAGGATCTATTAGGTTTCACTATCGTTTTGTTACATTAGTTATAGCACCTGCAACCACATTGTGGAGTCTTTGCCGTACGTCTCTGGTTCACCGGGCAATGTCAAGACCCACTTCATTCATCTTCATTCTGAATTTCTGAGGTGGTCACAGAAACCAAGAAGTCCAACGCGCTGGCATCGGAAGGCAATGCCCCCAAAACGGCTGCAACCATGGGCGCCTGCAGGCACTGTCGGAGATGGAGGTGGGCAGACACGAATGCACTTTGTTGCTCCCATGAACCCTCAACTCAACGCCTAAAACCACTGAGTGCAGGCTAGTCGGGAGTCATACTATGGCTCAAGTTCAAGCGCCTCTGTCGCGTGCAAACTAGGGCCACTTAACTAACAAATAGATAAAAATAGGGACTCGTTAACAAGTATGTACATGTATGTACTGCTAAAGTTCTGTCAAACGCAGTACAACTCAACCAGCACGATTCTCTGGGGTCGCAAAACAAACGCTACAAACATCGCCATTGTAAAGACAAATCTCACACAGACAGTGCCAGTCAAGCTGCAGTTGAGACCCTACCCTGCCTCCCACAACTCTGGCTGTGGGGCGCGCTTGTTAAGCGCGCAAAGACCCCTTGCTGCTGCACGTCTCGTCTCTGGGTAGGTCTCCTCCATAACATCTACGAGGTACTGCAAGGAACCCAATGCTATGAGGTTCCATTGCTCTTAGGTTGGGGGCGATCGCTCTTAGGTTGGAGGCCACCGCTAGTAGGTTGGAGGCCACCGCTCTCAGGTTGGAGGCCCTCGCTAGTAGGTTGGAGGCGATCGCTAGCAGGTTGGAGGCCATTGCTAGTAGTCATCCAGGCCCAGGCCTCCACGCGGCGGTGGTGGGGCCCCTCCCCGGAAGGGGTGCTGACTGGGCCCTGCCATTTGTCTGACGCCATGGAAGTCACTCATGATCGAGCGCTGGAAGATGGTGTGCATTCGATCTTGAGTGACTTTGAGTTGTGGGGAGATGCACACTGCACCCTGAGCGATCGTCCGAATGTGCTGGTGAAGGACTTCTGTCTGAAGCACCCTGGTGATCTTTTTGGATTTGAAGCCTCAGATTTGGTGGCGGCAGGACGAAGCCTGGCTCAGGTGCATCTGGATTCGGTAATGGCAGGACACAGAACGAGCTACGCTGCACAATCTGTGTTTGCAAGGCTTTGTTGGGAAAGTTTTGATTTGGGATGCATCATTGCTATACCCTCCTGCAAATGCCAGTGCTGATTTGGCCATCGATAAAAGGACTTGTATCTCGCCACTACACAAAAGGACAAGTGGTCCGATCACAGCTTTGCACCTGTTTGGAGCCTGGGGAGGCTGGTCGTTTGCAGGGCAGATTCTCTCGGAGCTGGGACACGAAGTGACCTCAGCAGCGATCGAGATTGACTTTGATTCAGCCCGCAGCAACAGCTTGACACATCGTTGCCCTCTACTTACTGCTGGAGATGATGATGTGTTACCCGCGCTGGCATTGGCCTCCTTTCCGTCTGGGTGGTGCTTATGCGCCGATATCATGGACCCTTCTTGGTATGAAGCTGTTGCATTCTGGGCACCAGAAATTGTGACGATATCATCACCCTGCCCACCTTGGAGTGGGGCTGCAATGCAACAGGGTTTGCATAGCAGTGATGGCCAGTTGTTGATGAGGAGTATTGCCTTGTGTAAGATCCTACGTCCCAAGATCATCTTGATCGAGCAGGTTGCTGGCTTCCATGCACACCCGCATCGTCAATGGATTCAGCGTGCTCTTTGGTTTGCTGGCTATCATCTCAGGTTTTCACATGACTTGGAACTGGGAGATCTCATGGCTCCAAAGAGATCCAGGTGGTTGGGTGTGGCCTATATGGTACACAAATGGCCTCCGGCTTGGAGGATCGTGATTGTATCCTTTCATGGTCACCTGACATTCTGCGGCGACTCAAAGTGCCTGAAGAAGCTTTGGCACAGGCTCGCTCCTTTCCTTTGGAACGTGGCTCCAAGCAGCAGAAGCGCTGCACGGCTGATGAGGCTGCTCGCTCACACATGTTTCAGCCGCATGATTCCAGTCTCCCGACTTTCATGGCTCAATATGGAAGTCGCACCACCTTCATGGTCAACTGCTGGAAACTCGGGGCTACTTCGCCCATTGGTTGCAGGAGAATGAGCAAGCAGACCTTCGTTTTTTGGCACCCCGCTGAGGTGGCACTTCTCCATGGAGCCTGGGGAGGATTCTGGCCTGGAAGGGCATGGGCAATCAGATCGCCATTCCCCATGCTTTGTGGCTGCTTCTCCAGGGGCTCAATATGTTGCGTGAAAGAGATCCACAGCTTCGCTGGGTTGATGCTTGGTCTTTCTTTAAGATGCAGTCCCTGTCAATGCCTTGGGGTACCATGTGGATGCAGAGGCGCACTCCCTTCAGGGTTGGAGAGGACATCATTGCTCAACTTACCCATCTCCCTATGGGAATCTGCTGGACTCCAGAACTTGGTAACATCCTGCTCAAGGACTATATGGCCCTGAATGGACAGCTCCTCCCACCACAGTGTCTCCGTCCGATGACTCGGCACACTACAGCGGCCACCCAACCGACGGAGATTGAGGCCACACAGCCTTTCAGACTGTTGGCAAGATGCCGCATCATGTTCACTACAGGAGCCAAAGGGTTGCAAGTGGAGCAGACCACGCCCATTGAGGCTGTCACATCTTTGTGGAAGGCTTCAGCACGAGACTGATGGATGGCAGATTGATGATCAAGACAGATTCTTCCTGAAGGATACAGCCCCTGCAACTTGGCAGACAGATGACAAGGGTCTATGTGTTCCTGTCCTCAAGGCTGACATGTATGATCTACGGTACACTACCAAGGGTGAACTGGTTCAGTCTCTTTTGGATGGTGATGAACAGGAAGAGCTATGGTTTGATCAATTTGGCCTCACTCCATTACGAACCCACATCCTGCCGGAAATGGTTCTCACGAAATTTGAGTTGGGACACGCTGCATGCAGCTTTGCCGCGGATGATATCTACCGCACGGCCAAGGGGGTCCATTGCTACCACTATTGGAACCACAAAAGGTCATGGCACTGCAGCCGAGTGCACTCTTTGGTCTGCTCTTTGGGCTTCGGCGCTGACTCAGCAGGGCAGGGGTAGCTTCCATTTGACAGTGGACCACCAGACAACAGAGATTGACTTTCAGGTCAAGACGACTATTGGCAAACCGACTCCCATCCCGCCTGAACACTTTCTGCCATGGTGGGCGGTGCGCACCTTTCGAAGTACGATGGACTGTCTGCGGGTCCCAGCTGGCATCTATATTTCTTTGAAGTGGTGCAAAAGAGTCCTATGGGAGGGACATGTGCGTGAAGATCTGCTGGCTGGCCAACTCATTGATGTGATCCAGTCCTGTCATCCATAGCGAGGAGATCCGCCTCATTCATGGAGCTTCAGCCTCTCGCCTTCTCCCTGAACATGCCTTGGGACTTCTGGAAACTTGGGAGAATAGGGCGGGCGCATTTGTCTTGCACCATGTCACCCGCATCCAGGGCGGAGGAGGTGGAAAGAATCCCCAGCAGGTGGCACTACGCAATCAGGTGGCCAGCCTACTGTTGGAGCTACAGTATGAGTTGGATTGGGTCTCCAAGGCTGTTGAAGCCTCTTCAACAGTTTGGGCCATGCGGCCATCGCTGCGATGTTGAATGGCAGGAACGAATCACGATCCACCATCTTGCTCATTGCGCTCCAGAAGATTGGTTTGGAGTTGCCTCGCAAGCGATCAGGCGCATTGGACAGTCAGAGCTCTACCCGGCAATTGCAGCTCCAAAAGAAGAAACCGCCACATGTGAATCTGTCCAACTTGACCATCATGGCTGGTTACATCCGCAATGAAGATGACTCCAATGCCACTCAATTGTCCTCATTCCTGCCGCAATCCTCAGGAGTCTTTTTGGCTCATTTGGATCCAGCACTTCCGTGGCTTCGTGAAAATGCAGTGTTGTCCAGGGATGAGCTGGGTATCATTGTGGTCACTTCTCAACCTCTTGAGGCCACATTGAAGCACCAGGCCATCACCATTCCCTGTGAACTACCTGATGCACCATCCATCATCCTCGCAGGTATTTTGGTGCAGTTCGGGGAGCGACAGCTCAAATGCGTGGAGGGGGCACATCGCCTCAAAGACCCAGCCTGCAGAAGCGTTGCCTTTACTCTGTGGAAAACAGATTGGGATCTTGATGACTGGACTGGAATCCTCGACTCCACTACGCGATTCGTGACGTCTTCATTTGCTGCAGCTGGCTGATCTTATCCACATGGGGGAGGTCTCTTCGCAACAATAACAAAGCAGTTTCAGCGGCACAGGCTACTTCGGTTCAGCTGCATGGAAGTGTTCAGCCTGACCTGCAGGTTAGTGGTTTCAACCGCATCTTCTGTACACCCAAGAGCTCAGATGGTCGCCAAGACTCCCAATTCAGGATCATTTGGACTGAGGGTGACCTTCCTCGGAGCGACTCGCTTGACCTCCCTTTCGAAGACGACTTCAGGCTGCTTGGGGTTGGTGGAAGGGCGTGATGGCATGGGCCTCCGCTTCAAGCGCGAGGACTTTGCAGCAGCTTGGAAGGTCATTCATCCGGCCAAAGAGATGCCTCCAGATCTCCACGGGGCTGCATTGATCAAGCTTCAGCCCCTACCATTTGGCACCTCCAAGGACATGTTGAGCCAATGGGCTATGACCTACAAATGCGCGCTTGGCTGATTGCGAGCAGTGAACCTATCCCCTCGGGCATCTTGCTGTACAACTCAGCTCCCATTTTGGCTCAGCTGCTGCCTCCCAAGAAGGACTACCAGAAGTCACCCATCATTGCGGGTTCCGTCACCTTGAGTTCTACCACTCAGACTCATCACGCAGTTTCAAACAATGCTGCTGATCCGTGGGCTCAGTACTTGGCCACACAGGGCCGTTCCATTGGTCCCACTCCTGCTCCACGTGTTGTTGGCCCTACTGAGACCAAGTTCCAAGAGCAGGAGGGTAAGCTGCATGCCATGGAGGTTCGCCTTGCCTCAATGGAGGCCTCCAACGGCTCCTTCCAAACGGAAACCCAGAAGCAGATTGCCCAGCTGGATGCCAGCCTTCGGCAACAAGCACATGATACCCAAAACCGCATACTCTATTGGTCTCCGCTTCGAGGAACACCAGAAGGAGGTTGCTCAGCAGGTACTTCAGTCTGCCCAGGCTCTGGAGGCCTCACTGGTGAAAACCATGAGAAGCGAGAATCAGGCGATTCATGGCACCTTGGCAGCCTTGCAGGAGATGTTTCAAGAGAATCTTGGCCGTAAAAAAGCCAAGGAGTCTTTGGAGTGATGGGGCAGGGTGAACAAGAATTCACTGACACACGCCTGTGGGTCCTTCCCTACAATCCTTGCGTTGGTGGTTGCATGTTTTGTGTTACTGTTCCGGCGTGCTTTGGGCCATGGAATTCGATATGGAGAGGCCCGCAATCCTGGCCCGGAGATGTTACAAGTCGCGCTGTGCAACCCAACTGCGTTGACAAACAAGGCTGATGCCTTCCGTACCTTGCAGCATAGCCACAACTGCCAGATCATTGCTGCTGCAGAAACGAGTGCCACCACACCGGCGCAGACTATGA